GAAAGCGTCGCACGACAGCGTCACAACAGCAAAGATCCACCACCCCAACAGGTGCTCCATCGGTGGTCTTGAAGGAGAAAATTTCAGATTGAGCTGTTGCGCTTATGCCTCGATCATCGCCGTGAGTTTGGCGGTGGATTGTTGATGTAGGTGGTGGTCGACGGTGGGCGATGGCCGATTGTAGGGGTTGGTCGACGGTGGGTAGAGGGGAGATTTATAGAGAGAGGGAAGGAGAGGGGCGAGAGAGAGCCGAGGGAGTTGAGAGTGATAAATTAGGGTTAGAGTTTTAATATATTACCTGATTTTCGAATAATGAAACTTGGTCCTTGATTTTTGAATTCCAATCTTCAAACACCTGAATTATGTAATTTTTCCTTTTTTTTAACCATCAGAAAGTCTGCTCAACAGTAGAGGCCCAAACTGAAATATATGGGTCAACATAGCCCACAACAAAGCCCAGCTTCTTTATAGATGAATAAAAATCAACCCCAACATATATGAAATACCAAGGTACAGTGAAGTCTTAGTTAAAGCACTGAACATAATTGAGCCTTGTAAACTCACAAATATAAGCATCGATCCAAATTCAGTAAAAACACATCATTTTGCAAATTTATGCAAATTCTAAGGGTGGGGGAAGAAAGAGAAATCCAGACATGCGTGCATATAATAGAACATTTTCAACAAAATCTAATGAAAAGATAAGTGTAGAAATTTTGAAGTTCATAGAACTTCAAATTGTATTCAATTCAAGTAAATCTTATTAAAGTTTTGGGGGAAGAGGAGTGGCCAAAACATGGGAGTAGGAAAACAAGCAAGAAAACAAGGAAACAGTGAGCTCATGGCGAAAGTTATAAAATATATGTATTAGATCTCGTTGTACTTCATGATCAACTTGAAACGTATATTTTTGACATGCGTTTTAACAAAGTGTTTGAAGGGTTGAACGACTTTGGTGATCTTGCAGTGCAAAATTTTGACTTTAGCATTGATTCTATCGGTTGCTACTGCTACTGTAGAGAGAGTCTTTTCTGCATCAAGCATTGTAAATGATAGATTGCATATTCGGATGGATGATCAGCGGATGAATGATAGTACAATTGTTTATGTAGAGAAAGATATATTTT